ATGCTGATGCAGCAGAAGGGAGGAGGGGACATGTCTGGTTTGTTAATGCTCTGCCAGCTGCCTTCTCCATCACCCCCTGGAGACCTCCCCATCCCACCCTGCCCTCCTGGGCTGGGCTGCGCTTTCCCAGCCCCACAGCAGCTGTGGGTGGCCTGGACCCCCGTGCTCAGCCAACTTTCCCTGCCCAAAACCTTCAGCTGAAGGTTTCCCTGCTGTGCCTGGAGGGCTGTGGAGGAGGATTTGCGTGGGCAGGGAGCAGGGACACCGTGTCCCTTGGCCTTGCACTGAAATGCCAGCACCGGGCTGGAAATGCCAGCAGGGACAAAGCCCCACCTGAAGCCTGGCAGTGCCACAGCCCCTGGGAGCCAGGGAGAGGGGAGAGCCCTCTCTGCCTGGAGAAGCCCAAAATTCAGAATTTCACCCCTGAATCTCAGCCTTGCCATGGCCATTGGGTGCTGCTGTCCTGAAATACTGAAAAACCCAGTCAGAGTAAATCCTGATCTTTACATAAAATACAGTAGAATAGCAGAACACTATGAAGTGGCTTTGATTACAGTTTTTATAAAAAGTTCTCTGTAACTTTGCTGGCAAAAGACCTGAATTCACAGGCCAATATTATTCCTTCCAACTAAGACCTGATGTAGCACTATTGTAAGTCACAAACAGTTCTTAAAAATTAAATCTCAACTTCCCAAACTATCCTAAAAGTCTAAAGGGTGCCTTCTCTTTTACCAGAATTTCTTCTCACTCCTGTCAATCCACAAATGAAGTGACTCTGTCCCAGAAACAACCCTGCACCAAAGCCTTTCCATGCTGAACACTTCTCCAAGGGGGAACCACTTCAGAGGGAAACCAGGTCCCATTTAGGAACCTTAACCTGCTGCACATGCACACCTGCTCCTTTGTGAATGACAAGGTGAAAACCAGCACCTGCAAAGCAGGGAGGGGGAAGATGTTGGGACAGCACTGGGAGACATGGAGGACACCCTTGTTGCAGACATCTTTTCATGAAAATCCTTTCCTTAGGATTTTTTTCTCCTGAGAAGCTGAGAAGCCTCAGGAACAAAATGTAAACAATGATTATCTGCTGCTGTGGAATGCAACAGGTGCATCTGTGATTGGCCCATGTTGGATGTTTGTAATTAATGGCCAATCACAGTCAGCTGGCTCAGACTCTCTGCCCGAGCCACAGACCTTTGCTATTCATTCTTTTCTATTCTTAGCCAGCCTTCTGATGAGAACCTTTTCTTCTATTCTTTTAGTATAGTTTTAATGTAATATATGTCATAAAATAATAAATCAAGCCTTCTGAAACATGGAGTCAGATCCTCATCTCTTCCCTCAACATAAGGCCCCTGTGAACTCTGTCACAGACCATGGTACCCCAGGTGCTGCTCTGGTGGGAAGCACAGCCCAGGGAGAATGCAGGGAGAGTTTGGAGCAGCTGGGAGTGAGGAAGGAACAACTGGAGAAGAAAGGAGCGGAGTGTTCTGTCCAAGAGCCCACAAATCAGCATCTCTCCGGTGCCATGAAAACCTCCCCTCAGGGACAAAAAAAAACCAAAAAAAAAAAATTAAAACAAAACCAAAAACCGGCGAGAAGCAGCACTGCAGGGAGCCGTGCACGTCATTATCCGGGAGCATCTGGAGGAGACTTGACACGGGCCGCCGCAGCAGCTGCTGCAGCAAACAAAGATCGCATTGCCGGGCCAGGGACGCGCTGGGCGGCAGCTGCAGGGCCCGGGGCCGTGCGGGGCCGGGAGCGCAACGGGAACGGGCCGGGGATGCTCTGGGGACACTCCGGGAACAATCCGAGAATGCTCCGGAAACAATTCGAGAACGCTCTGGAGATGCTCCGGGAACAATCCGGGAATGCTCCGGGAACGCTTCGGGAACAATCCGGGAACGCTCCGGGATCGCTCCATGAATGCCCCGAGAAGGCTCCGGGAACGCTCCCCGAACGCTCCGGGAATGCCCCGGGAATAATCCGGGAACGCTTCGGGAACAATCCGGGAACGCTCCATGAATGCCCCGGGAGTGCTCCGGGAATGCACCCGGAATGCTCCGGGAACGCTCCTGGGAAAGATCCGGGAAAGCTCCGGGGACGCTCCGTGCCAGCTCCTGCCCACGGGCATCACCCAGCCAGCCCGGGCACAGCACAGTCCATGCCCTGGCACCTCTGAATCACACCTGGGCACCGCTCAGTGGGCTCAGGAAAGGCCAGGGTTAAAATGCAGCAAGTCATCCACCTTCAGTAACAAGGCAGCGATCCATCTGATCCATCTGCCTCGGCGGCTCCCGGCTGCAGAGCCAAGCATTTCATTTGCTGGATGATCACAAACGTGCTGCTGCCCTTCAGCTCCATGGCCACGACACCCGCGCGTGGAGCTGGCTCTGGAGCAAAGCAGGGCGAGGACAAAGCTTCAGGGACATCTTGGACACAGCCAGCACTGAGCATGGACAGCCTGGGTCTCCCTGGGGAGGGTGGCTCAGATAGAGGAGCTTGGCATCCTGACCCCCTCAAGGCTCTGCCCGCACTGAACCCTCTCCCAGCCTGTGGGAGGTGGGAGCCAGGCTTCCCACTGCAGCATCATCTGGTTTTCAGCTCATTTCTGGCCATTTCCTCCCCACTTGCTCCATCCCTGCTGCAAACCTGGGCTTCTTTCTCAGAAAGGACAAGAGGACACTTTGGGGGTGGTGTGTCCCTCACCCTTTCTTCAGGGACAGCCCTGGCCCTTATGGGCAGGCTGGGGACAAATAAGTGCCCTGCTCCAGCTTCAGGAAAAGGGAAGATCCCAGGCTGCAAAGCAAGAGGAGAAAATTATCTTGGATTAAACTCCTGGGTCCTGTGTGTTGCCATTTATGGCTGCACTTTCTGTTCCAAGCCTGATGCAAGACATTGCAAGAGGGAAAGAAAGCAGACAGGAGAGAGCCAGCCAGAAGAGAAAAGCCAGGAGAAAAGGGGAAGGAAGAAACCTTTAAAAAAAGACTAAATAATAATAATGTTGGTCAGAGTTTAGCAGAGCAAAGCAGCTGCTGTGTCAGCAGCTCCCCTTCACCCACCACTGGGGCTCTCCATCCTCTCTCTGCCCAGAGGAGCAGCTGCAGACCAAGAGCAGTTCTCCAGCCCTGCTGATGGTCCTGCCAGCTCTGGGGTGCTGGAGAGGATGTCCCTCGTGTGGAGATGGAGTTTTGCAGGTCTGAGCCCCCCAGAGCGTGGGAGCATCTGCTCCTGCCACTGCTACGGGCAAGGACAAGGCACAGAGTGGGCAGAGCATTTCTGAAGCTCTGGGACCACCCAGCCCTTAATGAGGAGCAGGCAGTGCCAGGGGAGCTCTGGTGTGTCCCACAGCAGGGTGAGGAGCCCAGCTGAGCACACCCATCCCTGCAGGCACCACCAAATCCAGCTCCTTCCCTTTTTGCTACAGCAAACACCCACACCAGGATGTCCCTGCTGAGCTGCATGGCATCCCTGGCAGCAGGCAAAGCCGGCCCTCACCTGGAAGCTTCACAAAAAGTGAACTTCAGGAGGCAAAGAGTCCTCCAGCAACCCTGGCACAGCTCCAGGGCCTCACCCAGCCCACAAGGACCTGTGGGACCCCAAACTTCTGGACCCATATAGGGCACACACCACACACCCCAATGCCCCTCTGTCCTTCACCACGACCCAGCAGAGCCCCATGGTGGGATTCAGGGTGGGCAGGACACGTGCACAGGTCCCTGGGGGTGACACACGTCCTGTGTCACTTCCCAGTTCCCATTCTCTGCAGGAGATGAGGCATTTGTGCCTGGCACAGGCGGCTCTGTGAGAGCTGGGCACATCTGAGCAGGCAGGGATCGGGGTGGGGAGCCCTGCATTCCCTGGCAGTGCTGCTGCCAGGGCTGTGACGGGAGTGGCACATCCCCACATCCCTCCCCAGTGCCCTGTGGGACACTGGAGCTCCTGTCCCAGCCCTCTGGCAGCGCAGACACAGCCTGAACAGCTGCCAATTACAGCCAGACTTAATTAGACACCCTCTCCCCTGCAGCACAGGGAGGGCGGGCAGGAGGCATCAGAGGGGGAAATGATGACTTTGTAAATGTGAGCAGGGCTCCTGGTGGGAGCTGGGGGGTTTGGGCTGCCTGCTGTGTCCAGAGGCACCGGGAGCCCCCAGGGAGGCCCAGCCTGGGGCAGGAGGCACAGGGAAAATGCACCAGGAGCTTGGCAAAGGAGGCCGATGAAGCCTTTGTGCCTCTGCTGTGCGGGTGAGAGCCCCAGACAGGGTTTGTGTGTCCCCCTCTCCCCTCTGTCACACACTCACCCCTGCTCTGTTTGAAGCTGTCGGCTCAGCTGCAATTAACCCTTGGCAAACCAGCCAGGCTGGCACTGCCCACTCACCCTCCCCATCTCCTGAACATTTTGGCCAGGATGGCATCTTGGAGGTGGCTCTGCTCCAACACTGACAACCCTGCCCGGTCCCTGCCACCTGTCACTTCAGGACAGGATGGCTCATTAGGGAGTTGAAGTTTCTGACCGTTTCTCACAAGAACCACGCTCCACAGCCCCAGATTCGCCGCTGTTCCCACCCAGTTCCCACCCAGCAGCTTTTCATTACGGGATTGCTTTGACAGCACTGCCTCATCCATTAACGAGCTGGGGATGGGGATGAGAACAGACAATGACAGACTAATTAAGGTTTTTTTTTCAGCGATGGGAGCCAGCAGAGACAAGGGGAAACACTACCAGCAGTTCAGGGAAACAAGGACTCCTGGGCTCCTTTCCCTGCTCTGCCACTGGGTCATTCTGTAGCCCTGAGCATGAGGCTACAATGAACTGGTCACTGCAGAGAGGGGCAGGGAACCTTCAATTTTAGCGATTTACCAGGAGATGGAAGCAGGAGGGAGGCTGAGACACTTAGCTGCCCCAGCAGATCCCAGTTTGCACCGGCAGGGAGCAAGGGAAAGAGGAGGCAGCGGGATCCAGCCCGTCATTAACACACCGAGGCCGCTCTCCCTGCGCGGCTTCATCCATCAGCACTTTGCTCGAGTGGTTAATGGCTGCGGGCAAGACGAGCCAGCCTGGCACACTGCGTGCTGAGCAAACAGGGGGGAAGGAAAATAGGGAAAGAAAATAAATAAGGAGAGAAAACAAATAAGGAAAGAAAATAAATAAGGAAAGAAAATAAATAAGGAGAGAAAGCTCTCTGAGCACCTGCTGATGTATTGAGAAGCCCTGAGCCTGCAGGAGCCAGCAGGCAGACAGGGTCTGGGAGCCTCTGCTGAGTCACATCAGGGGACTGCAGCCCTCACCGAGCCAAGACAGGCTGGAAAGGGAACGATTCCATCAGCAAAGCACTCCCTGCTCTGCCCAGGGCCCGTCCCATCCCTGTCTGTAACATCTCCTGGGCTTGGGTCTGGGTGGTGCTGGAGGAGGGGAAGGATGAAGCAGCTTTGAGGATGTTCACAGGGAGCCGAACCAGGGAATCAGGGAGATCCTGCAGAGCTGTGGATGGTCTGTCCCACTCTGCCCACAGCAGCAACCCTTGGATCAGCAGGCTGGGCACTGCCACACGTGTGTGGTGCCTGCTGGAAGGGCACGTAGTCCCTCACAGTCCCTCGGCCAGCTGTGCCACAGTGCTGGCAGCTGTGGGATCATGTGCTGGCCACGGCTCCCAAACACACACTCAGCATTGCTCCCCCTCCAACACCACCCACAGCACCCACAGCACACAGGCCTGCTCCCTGACCCTCCCAAAGGGACACTCCTCAGGGTGAGCAGCATCCTTGTCCTGCCCTGCCCACACAGTGAGGAACAATTCCCAGGAGGGAAAGCTGGGCAGGACCCTGTGCTGTTCCTTCAGCTCCCGGGCTGAAGCCAGTGAGGAGCCCAGCCAGGCTTCTGGAGGACACAGAACTCCCCGTTTCTTGAGTAAGAACTCATTCCAGGCACACAAAACCCTGGTACTGCACCTGTGCTGAGTGGGGACAAAGGAGCTGAGCCCTTCTCTGAAGGCAACAAGCATTGCAGCAGTGCCTGTTCACAGAAATCAGGGCTGAAGAGCAGCCAGAGGGGAGGAAAACATTCCCAACATGTTTTCCCAACATCAGAGGAACCTGTGGGCTCTGGCAGCCCTGGATCTGTCCATCTGTCCCAATGCACCTCACCAGAGAGCAGCTCCAGCCAAGTTGCCAACTTTGGTGCTGAGCTGGCCCAGCCAGGACCCAGCTGGCCAAGGGTGGCCCAGGAGCTCTCCAGAGATCCTGGTACTCACAGGCACTGATGAATCACACGAGAGAAACAGATGTGGTTTCCAGGATGCTGTACAAGGCACGGGGCTGCTCTAGAGCTGTATCCAAGGGCAAGGGGCACCGGGAAGGGGACAGGGACAGCTCTGAGGCTCAAAAACCACCAAGGGAGGTGCGAGGAGCACAGGGAGGCAGAGGCACATCCCAGCCCCAGCAGGTGCCCCGCGGGTGTCACAGAGCATCGCAGCACAGAGCAGGGTGTGCGAGCCCCAGGACCTGCCCAAGGCTATCCGGTGAGTCACTGGAGATGCTTTCCAAGGCGAGGGCTGAGTGTGCGCTGCCCGGCAGCCTGGAAACAGTTGCTGAGGATTACAAATGCTGCTAATAATAGCCAGGAGGCGACTGGGCCCCAGCCCCGTGCCCCGGCCCAAGCACGCTGCCGGCACACGGCGACTCTCCCGCATTCCCAGCGCTCCCTTCCCGCCCCTTGCACAAGGAGCCACAGGGCAGAAAGCCACCAGGACAGGGAGTTCGGGTGCCTCAGATTGTCACCGAGTCCCATCCAGGCTGGGCAAAAGCAGAACAAGATCTTCCCGTGGACACTGGGCCGCTCTTTTATTTTTAAACAAGATCCGATGGAGGAGGAGGATTTAGCGAGCGTTTATTGGCATCACTGCCGCCCCCAGCCCCGCCAGGGGTCAGAGCCTGGGGCCAGCACCCTGGGGGGCTGAGGAGTGGGGCGGTCCCTTCCCTGGGGCGGGCAGGGACAGCGCACGGAGCCCGGGGACAGTTTGTGTAACCCACAGAAAAGGGATGCGGACGGGAAGAATAAACACAAGCACATCCCCCAGCACCTGGACAAGCTCTTGGAGAAAGGAAAAGACTCCCGGGGGTTAGATGTGCGCACAGGAGAGGCTCACACTGACACACGCTTCCTTTCCCTTAAATCTTCACTTTCTTGATTATTTTTAGGAGAATTTTTTGGCGGGCCGGGGAGGGAAGGAGGCAGAAACACCCCCCAAACCGCTGCCTCCCCGGGGACAATGAGCTTGTTCCCACCCGAAGACAAAACACGGGCTTTGCCGGGACTTCTCTTATTTTAGGGGAAAACCCGGAGCGCT